GTAGAGACAATGCAATCAAACATGTATTCTTTTTCACTTGGTTTCCCTGAAGATTAGCCAAATTTGTTTCTCAGTTGCAATAAACAGCCTATCCTTGATGCCAAATACATATTTTTCTCTTTCTCTTAAAGTTGTCATTTTTTTTACAACATCACTTTAACCATGTCACAATAAAAGTGACATAATTATATTGTGAAGTATGCTTAAATGTTTTACATACAGTAGGCAGAATTAATATATGAAGGCTGTTTTCTACAAGCTATTCCATAGTAAATGCAAAACAGAAACAGTGTGGCCTAGAGCAGTATTTTTCAAACTGGAATGTGCAAAAGAATCACAGAATGATCTTATTAACAGGTAAATGCTTATTCACAAAGACTGGGGTGGAGCCGGAGGTTCCACATTTCTAGGAGGCTCCCAGATAAGATCACTTCTGGTCCTCAGACCACACTTTGAGGAGGTAGGGCCTCACCAACATTCATGCCTGTGCATGAATGGAAAGTCAGTACAGGAGAAATAATGAGTATAATGGAGCCCTAAGACATGACGGGGCTTCCCAGGTGGTTCAGTGAGAAAGAATCCACCTGCCACTGCAACAGACGCAGCAGGTATGGGTTTGATCCCTAGGTCAGGTAGATCCCCTGGAGTAGGAAATGGCAAACCCACTCCAGTATTCTTAGTCCACTGGGTCACAAAGAGTTGGACACAACTAAGCAAGCACACACCCAAGACACGATAACCCTCTAAATGCTGAGAACCACGAAATAGAGCAAATGGGATCAGATCATCACATTTCTGTTTCAATTTTTAAAAATCAAAGCGTCTTAAATCCAAAGTCTATAATAATTTTTTATAACAAATGCCCAGTTCATGTTTTTCAAAGAACTTGATTCTCATTCATGGTTTAGACATTCTATCATATAGTGCTCAATAAAATTCTGATTGATATATATTTCCAAAAATCCACAGTATTTTGAATGGTTATAGGAGGACACAAAAGGAAAAAATACTTACTGAACACGTGGAAAGATTCCATCTCTTCAGATGTTTAATAACCCCCCACCCCCACTGTATTCCAGTACCATTCTGAGGCCTCACCATCTGGTTTCTTTTTTCTTTTATTTATATTGGTTTGATTCTGATTCTTCATTTCTATCATGTGGAGGGTCAATTATTATATAACTTGGGAAATTACTTGATTAGTGAATAAGTGAATGAATCTACATCAATTGAAGAAAATTCATCAGCTGTAATACTGGTTAAGAAAATATCTGAAGAGTAGTCAGTTCAATATTTTTTCTTTCCAGGTTATTTCCAGTTAAGAGTATTCCTCCTTGCATGGCATGTTGCACAATGATAATTTCTAAAATACTTCACAGTAAAGAAAAGGCCTAACTTTTCCGAAGCTATTCCACTTTTATAGATTCTCATATTGCCCGTTGTCACATGTATGTCTCCCCAGCGCAGTTTCACAAATGCAGAAGGGAAAAACCTGTATTTTGGTTAAAACTAAAATTAACCAGTTGTCTAATATACATAAAGAACTATTTAAGTCACCGCTTAAGTACAATAACATTTAAGGCTTTTCTTAGGTCACAGACTTTAGAGCCAAGTGTACGAGCTTTCTATTGCTGCTGCAACAAATTACCATAAGTTTAGTAGTTTAAAGCAGATTTATTCTTTTATGGTTCTGGAGGTCAGAAGTCCAAAACGGGTTTCACAGGACTAAAATCAGGGTGTCAGCAGAGCTGTGTTCCTTCTGATGTCTCTGGGAGAGAGGTTATTTCCTTGCCCTTTACAGCCTGTAGACACCTCCCACATTCCTTGGCTCTTGGCCCCTTCCTCTATCTTCAAAGCCAGCAATGTTGTATCTCTCTCTGACTTTCTTCCACTGTCACATCTTCCTCCAACTCATTCATCTCTTCTGCCTCCATTCACTTTTAAGAAAACTTGCACGTAGATAAACTGAGCAAATCTCCCTTTGAAGGTCAGTTGATTAGGAATCTTAATTCTTTTGCCATGTAACCTCACATATTTACAGGAAGGATTAGGATGCAGACTCTTTTTTTTGGGGGGGGGGGGTGGTCTATTATTCTGCCTGTCATGCCAAGTGTTCCATTTCCATTTACTAACATGAAATTTCCTGAAGCACGTTTAGTTCCCTCACTGTTCTTTGATTCTAGGAAACGAAGCTCTTAGGGAATAACGATAATAGGGTTAGATTACTGATAGCAATAACGTGCATTTCAGTTTTTAACCATGAGCTCCGATTCTATTGGGATGACTCCCATACTCAAAGAAAGATACAGGTATGACTGGAACAGCCACTGCTACATAACCATATTCTCCCAGATCCATGTTGTCTGAAATTTCTGAGCTACTGATGCCACGCATCATGGAATCAGAGTGTGACCACCAGGATAAATGTCTTGATTCTCTGTGATCTAAGTTGGCTACCAAAAGGACCTTTTCCTTGAAGTTTTAAGAAGCTAAATCTTCTTCCAAAATTGCTTTAATGAGTTTAGAATCATTAAAAATGTCCAAAGCACTGAAGTAATAATGTTTATTATGTTCTTAAACACACAAAAAAATGAGAAATTAAATGAGTAAGTTATAGTAGCCTAACCTTTTCATGCCATTACTAGGGATTGACAAGCTGGTTGTTTAAACAGCTGTACAATGCTTAAGCGCCAAAGACTCTAAATCTCTAATAACAAAAAGAGTAACACTTTGCATGAGTGTTTCTTTGAATATATTCTAGATTATACTTTCTCACAGGAACCCTCGACTAAGGATTTATTATATTTCAATCCAAAGCCACAGAGATAGAGTTCGAATGATTGGCTGAAGGCCCTATGCAAACTGAATCTAAACGTGAAACAAAGTAAAAGTTTCCAATTTGAATCCATGGCCTGAATTCTCATAGACAAAAACATGTTTGTGGTGATTATCATTATTTAAAACAGGCAGGTCCAATCGCCAAATGCTAAAATACAAACTGTATGACAGTTTAAGATGGGCTCTACTAAAGTTTCATGTCACACAAAGGTTGTGAGAGATATATTGTTTCTTGTGAGTCTTCTGTAACACACAGTGTGAGAAGCTGTCATCTCTTGCACGGGTTAATGACACCCTCAATATCTACCCCTCTCACCTACTGATCCTCTCTCCTGTGCCCTCAAAATTACATACATCTAACACTTCTGAGAACTGTTCACAGCTCCTATGGTTCTGGTGGGGTTTTCATCAGTGTATCAACTCAATGCAGTTCCTTGGGCCAGCTCTAAGTGAGATCAAGAAGAACAGGATAAGGTAGTAATCTGACAGATTTTCTTCATACAGCCAGCAAAAAAGAATTCTGAAAATCTCTGCACGTATTTTTAAATAACATCCAACTGTTTTTAACCTAAGTTTGCACAGTTGAAAGGGGACATGATTTCTAATGCTCTGTCCATATTTATTAGAACCTCAGGACTGCACGTTTCACTGAGTCTATGGAAAATTAGAAAAGGTAGCCCGTGGATGAGCTAATCAACCCAAGACCACTTTCTGTCGAGACAAGTCTGACTTCGTTTTTCAAGCAAATACGAAGATAGTTCTAGTGACACCAGTCTATCTTCTGAAATAGGAACAGTCTATCTTCTAAAAGGAACAGATAAATACAGCACAGAACCTTGTCACGTGCTTGGGCCTTGGATGAATGGGGCAGAAGAAAGGAGAACTAGCAGGCAACAGCCATGTTCAGAGGCAGATCAGTTTCAAGAAAGAGCTGGAAGTTGAGGAACTGAAGATTGAAACCCCTGATACACTATGTCCTGGGCCGTCCTGGTGCCCAGTTTGGAGAGTGCTGAGAAAAAAATGACTTACTCTCAGAACGTATCTAACAAGACACAGATTTAAAATGGTATTTCTACACAAAACTCCCGCTGACTGCATTTCTCTGAAGGATCCTCAGCTTTTGGAAGTATCTCAAAACAGGTATCAAGTTCTCTTCATCAAAATGAAGGGTCAACAATAAGAGATTACAATCTCGTTTGTGCAGCTAACCTCGTGTAGCGGTAGTTCTGGCGACCGATTTACTGGGTTCTACATTTTCTCTAGTCCTTAGAACGTGTAGCTTTTGTTTTCTCTGTTCGTTCTTGACCGAACTTTTAGCGTGTGTTTGAGCTCGTCTTAGTCACCTATCACCTTGAAGTTCCCAGGTTCCACCCCATGTCCTTATAGAGTCTTATGCTCAGGTTGATTCTCTGGCTCTTTTAGTGCTAGAAGTGGTAAGCTGTCAAAAAAAAAAAAAAAAAAANTACAATTTCCAAGGCCATGATGTTGTGCCAACAGCGGAGTTGCTTATGCAAACTACTGTGTACTTCTACACGGTAAGATAGAAGTGTAGCGTCACACCAAGAATACGTTTGGAAAATCTTTCTCTTCTAATGTTTCTGAGGACAAAGTTTGGAAGAAAATCAGTGAGAAGGGGCAAAAAAACAGATACAACGAAGACGACTTTATTAGGCGATTTCTCTCCTTTCTGAGGAGCTTTCTCTTCTTTGTGAGGAGGACTCTGATCCTTTCAGAGGAAGCTCCAAGTCACTCGAAGATATCCAGTGTCTTCCAGCTGCTGCAGACTGATCCCACGGTGGGTGCTCTGGAGAGCATCTTGGGGGTCGAAGGGGTCTCAAGCCGCTCCTCATCAAGGTCGTCCGATCCATTTGCTAAGAGGAGAATCTTCCCAAGGCACCTCTTAGAAGCAGGTGTGTGTCCCCCTCCAAGGAGCCCACCACCTGGCTGCGACCCATCTGCGTTTGTGCCCCAGCTAACAGGTAACGCTGGGTGCTTCCGAAGGTGCTGCTGCGGGGGCAGCGGGGCCTTTGAGACGCAGTCACTGGGAAGAAGCGAGGACGCGGCTGGATGCCGGCGGCATGCGCGCAGATGCCGGCGCACCCACAAACACACGCCGGTTCCGGGTGCGGGGAGGACGGGGCAGGGGAGGGGGGCGGCCTTACCAGATCAATGAACGTCAGGAATTTCCAGCTCCCTCCGTAGGTCTGATGCGAGGGCATTTCGATGGCCTTGTAGTTGCAGAGGATAGAGCAGTAGGACAGCAGGATGGCCACCCGCAGCACCTGGCAGGGGACAAGCGCCATGTTCGCCAAAGGCCTGGGCGGCGGGGAGGGCGGCAGGCGGCCGGGCGGGCGGCATGGCGTCAGCTCTTTCGTCATCTCAGTCATTCTGCTGCTGCCTTGGCCAGCCCCGGAGACCCGGCCGGGGGCACCCCCTCGGAGTCCCGGGAGCGGGTGGGCGGCCTCCGAGGGCGGCCGGGGCTCGGGGAGCGTCTGCCGGGCGGAGACGGAGCGCGGCCCGGGCTGCGCGGGCGCGGGGCCGGGCACCGGGGCCTGGAAACCCGCTTGGAAGGAGGGGACCCCAGTGTGGACCAAAGGTCCGGCTCGGGGACTTGCTGGCCGAGTGGCACCGTCGGAGGCGTGCAGGTGGGGTGTAAACCCTCGCGCACCGCACATCCCACCCGCCCCCTGTGACTTGCTTGTTTGGACCCAGTTGGCATTTTAGTGTTAGACTACCGTTAATCATTGTGAAATTCCCTTGTTAATTCTATTCCAGTGGGCAGACTGCCCTGCACTTTTCCACTGAAGGTTTATATTAATAAATAGCCTATCAATATATAACAAGACAGACTGGACAAAACGTTTATAAATAAAATGTTATAAAGCAAGCATTGTCAGACAACAGTTTATGCATTAAGGGCAAATCATGCTGAGTCTGGATGTAAAATTCCTGTATGTAATTTAATACTAATCTTTTGAAAATTAAACTGGTTTTGCCCTTTTCCTTATTTATTTTTTCTTATGCTACAATGCCAGGTCTTAATAGAAGGAAAATAAATATAAACTGGATTCTCTCCGCCTTCCAGTAAATGCTGTCACACTGAAGTTGCTTCAGTCCGTGGGCAGCGTCACATTTCAGCTAACCAGATGCAGCGGCAGATTATGAAAAGACAACATGGGTATTTCCTGTTGGTACATTTAAAACAGGTGTCCTCTGCAAATAGTCTCTGAGTCAGAGAATGTGGAGTCTGGGCAGGGTGAGCAGAGTGCTGGAGGTGAAGTAGCAATTCATGAATGTCTTCCTGAATTTTTCCAACCGAGCTCTTAACCAAAATAGAGAAACCCAGTATATATTTTTAATTGGCCTTATAATTATGTTAATAGAAATTATAGTGTCCCCCAAATCAAGATAATTCCAAGAAGATTCTACTAGCATAAAACTATTCATTATTGACAAAGCCTGGTTTGATCTTCATGTAGAAGTTGGGTGCATTTTTTAAAAATTGTGTGTCCATGCTCCATGGTCATAAAATTGCAAAATTAAAAAGCAGATCTACTGAAAATCTAAGTAAGTCCCTAATAAAGATTTTTAATCACTATAAATGCACTGTAATGACTGCATATTTAGTTGAGAAAGCCACTTTTCAGGGATTATTTGTAGCTCAAAAACAAAAGAAATCACCCTTTGGCAAAATAATGTGTATATTTGTTCACATACATGTGTTTATTATGGTCTGAGTTTTCAAGGAGAGTTCTTTTGCTCTAGAGGGCAATTGGGAAGATTAAGAAGCAGGTAAAAATCACTCTTTTTCCCAATAATTGATGCTTATTACAGATTTTTTTAAAAGTTGCTTTAGATATGAAATACAGTGCCAGTGCCTTTCATTAGCCAGACTGTTTTTTTGCTATTAACCAGGAACGGTTGTTACTTACAGGCCAAAAGAGCAGCAGGAACTAGCAGCTGTGCTGATGTAGCTGATGGAAACAGTTATTTTCAGGTTTAAAAATGGACTGTATTTGCTACAGAGAGCTCTACTAAGTTATGAGATTTCTGAACATCCAAGGGAGTCACTGAAAAGCTTCAGAAAGCGTCGTGTTGAGATTAGGCGCAAGTCACTGGCTAAATCTCACACAGATCTGAAGCACCCCCTCATTCTCGGAGATCTGTCGGTAAATTTGCCAAAGCTGCTCATCTTGCCAGGAACACTCTCGATGTGAATGTATCCAGACCAGCACATCTGGCAGCACATCCACCTTCCCAGTCCCTCTTCGTCATGTAAGATGTCATTTTCCTGCTCTCAACAATCCATGCAGATGGCTTAGTGGCGATTCACATTCTACCTGTGCTCCTTACTTCCTTCTCAAAAACTGCCCCCTCTGCAATGTCCCCACTGTCTGGAAGCATCACCAGTGTACTGTGTTAGAAGAACCAAACGGCCTGGGGCTGCCAGTCTCTTTGCTGTTGTTTAGTTGCTATATCGTATCCAGCCCTTCTGTGACCCTATGGCCTGTAGCTCACCAGGCTCCTCTGTCCATAGAATTCTCCAGGCAAGAATACTAGAGTGGATTGTCACTTCCCCTTCCAGGGGAACCTTCCCAGCTCAGAGATGGAACCCACATCTCCTTCATTGCAGGCAGATTCTTTACCACTGATTCACCAGGGAAGCCGACAGTCTCTTAATGGTGCCAAAATATCCCTGGAAGTGTGGCACGGTGAAGGTGATCCACTTACCAAAATTGTTGTTGCAAAGGAAACTGTTGTGTTGTTAGAAGAAACATTCTTATAAACTGCTTTGATGGATGGGTGAATGAATGGTAAGAGAACCTTCTAAACGCATTTTAGAATGACAGTAAATCATTGCTAAATTTCCTCTCCCCCATGGGTGTCAGGGTAATTGCAGAGCTTTTGTTTTGCCGAGTGGACCATATACAGGAGTTTGGAACTCGAAATCTCTTGCTCTGGGCAGTAGAGAAGAGGCCGACCTCCATCACCAAGGGTTCTTTTTCCCCCCACAGTCTTTAGCCTCTAGTCTAAACAAATGTTCAACAGATATTTTAAAAATATTTCAGAGGTTTTAAACCCAAATCATTCAGAGACCAGGCATATATATAAGTAAAGCTAGATGTAAGATAATAGGGTAAAATTGGATCTATGAAAAATGAGTAAAATGGCATACGTGGGTGCATTTTAGTTCAAATTTTTGAAGTTAAGTCAGCCAAAGCAACACCACCATCACCACACTGGTATGGTGACTGTTTGCTAGGGTCACTCAGCTGGAGTCAGATAGAAGCCTGCAGGTTGGGGCTTTGAAAGAAGGCCATGTTTACATCTTACCCATGATATCCAAAGAACTCTCTCAAGCCTGCTTTAGAATCATACCCCATCTGCCTCCTCCTCTGTAAGGGTTGAGATTGCTTTGGCAACCCTATTCCTTGAAGTAGGATGAAGGAAAACATGAAGTCAGGTCAAAAGGACATATGTATGCTGTTGGTTAAAGAATGTTTACAGAAGAAGCTCCCACATCACCCTTCACCTTCATATCACTGGCCAGTGCGCTTCCATGTGGCCAAAGCTCGGAAAAGCAGCCTCCAACATGGGTCTTTTTTAAAAATATTTTTTAAAAATTTTATACCGACTTTTAAAAATTTACAAATGAAAAACACTGTAAAAAAAGAAAAGACAGTGAGTTGAAGCCTTGTTTTTGTCCAGCTGGGCTTGCCTTGGCCTGGAGCCCTGCCCGCCGCTCAGCCCTTCCCTGCGTTCCTGCCCCTGCGTGGCCCCCGCTTTTCCTCCACGGCAGCTGTCAGCCTCCCCTTGTCGGTCAGGTGAGGTTAGAACTGCTCATCTGGTCTCAAGGTCAAGAATGGCTGCACCAGCTTGCTTGGGTTGGACGCCTGATGAAACAAGATATACAACTCTCCACCCAGAAAAGCAGCCTCCATCTGGGTCAGGCCCCACATCAGGGTTCCATTTGTAAGGAAGGGGTGGGGGAATGTTACCGGTTGAAATATGTCCTCCAAGAAAATATGTGAAAGCTCTAATCCCCTGGACCTTGGAAAGTGGCCTGCTTTGGGAATAGAGTCACTACAGATGTCATTAGTTAAGGTGACATCATCCTAGTGGATCCTTAATCCAACATGGTGTCCTTATAAGGAGACAGAGATGCACGGAGAATGCCACTGGAAGATGGAGACAGAGATTGGAGTCGTGACAAACCAGGGAATACCAGGGACTGCAGATTGGCGCCAGAAAGTGGGAGAGGCTCAGAACCAATTGTGCCCACAGATCTCAGAAGGAACCAGCCCTGCTGACACCTCCATTTCTAGCCTCTAGACTCTGAGACAATAAATTTGTTAACTGTTTTAAGCCATCCAGTTTGCGGTACTTTGTCAATGACACCTCCAGAACACTAATATAAGGAGAAAACAGACATATTGGGAGACCACTAATGGTTCCTCCCCCTCCCAACATCCAACCAGTAGTCAAATTACAGGAATCCATTATCTGCCACATTTCTCAATTCTGAGCCTTTGTTTTTATTTCTACTGCTGTTGCCTTAGCGCAGAAGCTCTGTGATTGCTCTTCCTACCACCATCTTTGCACCTTCAGTACCCCTTATCACGGCCACTAGAATTATCTTCTTGGAATGATAGTTTCAATTATTCCTTACCTCAAAAATAGTCAGTGGCTCACCATGGCCTACAAGCAACTGACTCCCTTGACTTGGTGTTCTGTGTCTTCCATTTATCTGACCTTAACCCAGTGTTTCAACTTCCATTACTGCACCTTTTATTTATTTTATTTTTACTGCACCTTTTAAAACAATTATGTATTTCGTTATCATAGGAATACCCCCCAAATCTCAACATTCTCTCTTCCTTGCCCCTTAAGCACTAATGATTCATGTTCTTTTCTCCATCTCTCAAATTCCTACTCACCTCTCAAGGCCCAGCTCTGGCAAAAATTCTCTAATAATGCCTATATTTGCAAACATTTTGCCAACTAGGGAGCACTTTCACATTAAACTAAAGGGCATCTTTTCCTGATGGGGCAGCCTATGAGCCTCCAAAACAAGCACCACTACCCTCATAAGCATGTTGCCTTGAGATGCCCTTCATGTGGAAGTAACCAACCGGAAGGGGGCCTAGTTGCCAGAGAACACTCCCTGTCTTTTGTAAGATGGAAAACATATTTCCCAGTAGTTTGAAATTATGTGAAGCAGCTAATTAAACTATAAACTTGGGTCCCAGACTCTTTGTCCATAGAAGGTAAGATATTGGTCAAGCTGGTAGCGTCTGCAGGAAGGCAATATCACAGAAATGTGGAATGC